CCCACTGTCAGCATTTATGCACCGTTCAGTATTAGTGTGCTTTCGGTATGCAGTCGTTTTGAGCCGTTGTGCTTGTCCATCGACAGTCACGTCGAGAAAGGATGTTATGTTTTGCACACTTGGCTCTGTTGTGAATGTTACACCAGACTGCTCTTCAAAGGTGTTTTTGAGACGTACTAGTTGGTCGATGTCCATAACTTCCACAAATATATTGTGTACTCAGCGGCAGTAAATGTCCGGTCTTACGTCGTGGTTTTGTAGTATGTCGGCTTGTTCGTGTCCCAGAAATTAGCGAATAAAGGTCCTAGAGGTGAGCCCATCGAACGCCCTCAATTTGGCAATACATTCGGTCATCAGGCCGGCGGAAAGGAACTTCCAACGTACAGGCCTTTAGTAACTGTTCAATAAGACGATTTGATATTTTCAGAGGAGGAATTTCGGGATGATTGTAAACGCGGTCAAGAATGATGGATGTGGTTCTTTCAATGGGCACGTTTACAAATAAATATTGAACATCTAGAGAATGTAATTATATATATATATATATATATATATATATATATATATATATATTATGGTTCCTGGCTGAGATTTGACAGACTTCAGGATAAATAAAGTTGGCTTATCTGTTGAGAAATTGTGATAATAATTATATGGCGATGCTAAAAAGTTTTATGACTTGTGCTGCATGATGTCAATCTTGACACTGAAATGCTATTTTCTGCCAATGGCACGCTAAATTTCTTTGTACTACAGATTTGATATCAGCCAAATGACACTGATGCAACTTTGTTGGAAATAGTTTGCTCATGACTCAGCCCATGAAAAGTATAACAAATGCTGTGCGCATACACCCTCCAAAACGGAGGGCAGTTACGCACCGGGCTTATGCACCCTCCAAAACGGAGGGTGGTTGCGCACTGGGCTGGGCACACTTATACGCCCTCTAAAATGGACGGAGGCTTCGCACCGGCTTATACACCCTCCAAAACGGATAGTGGCTTCGCACCGGGCTTAGGCAACCTCCAAAACGGATTGGGGGTCTACAGCAGACCAACTCACATACCAAACTACCTGGAAGATGGCGGCGACCGCGCGGGCAGTGTTCCGAAATGATCTTCAGAGACCTCCGAAATCGTCGCCAGTTGTAGATCCCACAACCCTGGTCCGCCAGGATCAAGGTTTTTTGAATAGCCAACGCAAGCATTACATCACTACGGGACCGACACCCGCAGACGTTGCTCGCATACGTAAACATTCGCATACGCAGTGAACTACTGTGAATCCAAAATGTTTAGTAAGCTGCCTAAGACCCAACATTTGTTGCACATGTCAAGAACAGCAACATGCGGAGTGCAGCCAGCAGAACTAGAGGGGGGGGGGGGGAGGCGGATGTCATCTCTGGGGCCCGCAATTTTCCTCTTTTCATCATACCTGACTCCTGTAAGAAGGTGGAAATCAGCGACATGATATAGTCATCAGCCGTATATTGGTTATTACCAGCGTGAGACTCCTTGTTACTGGTACCTTCGTTTGGTGTAGGGGAAATGTCCACGGCCCAACATTTGCACCACGACGTATTTGTAAATTTAATCCTAAAACTTGACTGTTGTGTGCCCCGAGTACCTGATACCCAATTACCCTACAAACGCATCCTCGAATATTGCCACCTCCCCGATTTGTGGACGAATATTGGTTTTAAAAAATTGCACACCGTCCCCTTCAACTGCCCTGCCCCTCCCCCCCCCCCCTTTGGTACCTCCTTGTCTTGCACGCCACAGAATATTGGGGTACCTAACCAAGAAGGAAAGGAGACATTGTCAAGTACCAAGAGGTGGGCATGAACGTCGCGATATGCACAGAAGGTACTTTGCAACATTCGCTCGGTAGCCTGAAGTGCTGCAGCTTGTCGGTAGAAACATAACTTATGTTCGTAAAAAAAACATCAGATTTTGTGCGTGGGTGCTGTAAACAGCCAACTTCGCGTCAAGCGCATGAACAGCAGCAACAATCATATTTGTGTTCGGTAGTTTTCATACTTATGTGTGCGTGCGGCAGTTTGGCAAATCCTGGGAAAACGCACTTCCCACTTCCCGTTCTGCTTGGGCGCCTGGTATAGTGATCCCAGTTGTTCAAGGAGGTGGCAGTGAGGATGCTAAGGGCTATTATTGCGTATTTATCCCCGCCGCGATGGTGTTTGCGGTGTTGGTGTTGCACATGGAAGACGTTTCTATGGTGTTATGCATGACTAGGTGATCATGACACAGTCTGCACAAGTTTGCGGGCGTCGCGCTCAGAAACCAGGTGGTTCTAAGCCCTAATAAGGACAGTAATGTAAACTGCACTGCATTGCCTTCAAAATAGCTGTCTCAGTTGAAAACCCCGTACAAGCGTGGAACCCTTCCTTTCACGGGTTAGGTCCGACATTTTTTTTGCGAAGTTCAAACAGCAGGAGGTTTAATGCATTTCAAAATGCACCATCTACCATCAAGCTTGTTACATGCATGCAGGCACTCAGCTCCCACAAATCGCTGAAGAACACAGTCACTCTATTTTGGGCTGCATCACGCACGCTTCCATTCTCTTCATCTTGCCCTCTAACATATTCGTTAGAGAAATAGCATAATGATGGCGACTACGGAAAACTCTCGTAATGTCGTGGCACATCATGTAACGCGTGAAGTCTCAAAGCCAGGTAGCGTAATAGCAATAATTCGACGAAGTAATGTGGTAGTGGTAGTGAGCCTTCAACGAGGTTACACCTAATTAACTTAACGAGGTCGGAGTTTTCTCCCGCCCAGCTGACATCCCGAGGAACACGAGGACGTACTTGGCTCACCATAAAAGGACACCAATCGACATGCAGCAATCGATGTACGGATTGAAAGCAGATGTGGGACATACGAGCTATATACGTCATGACCAAAGAGTTAACAAAGCTCACAATTGTCCTTCTGTGTCTGTATTGATTGAAAATCATAAACGCAGTCAACCGTCGGTGAGCGAGGCCCAAAAATGTCAACGTTTGGCTGTTGATACGTTCCAAATTCAGTTACACGCACAATGCAGACGCGGCTTCCTATTCAGTTCGGGTCAGGGAGGGAATATTTAGCCCCACTCACATCGAAGGCGTAGTTGGATGGGCAGAGTGGGCAACAGAAACGGGATGTTTCAAAGCCTAAAGACCGTACACCGTTAGCGTGCTTTCAGGGCAAGCGACATATCCCTTTTTGTCTCGCATCTCCAGCTTAATTAGCGGTCAGACAGATGTTATCCATTTGAGATGTTCTGTATAAGGCAGTGCTACCTGGGGAGAATGGAAGAAGTTGCCCAGCCTCGCACTGCGTAACAAGGGGGAGGGAGGTATGAAAACAGCAGTGAGCCAGACTGGCTTTTGAACTAGGGTGGGAGTGAACAATTCCATCGCAAAAAGATCTTGCGGGAGTGAAAAAATGATTCACAAAAGATGGAACTTATGACCTCGTGACTGATGCTTCAGCAAACAAAGACATCTATTTCAAGTGGGCACGGGCATAATACAACAAACCTGACAAAACTGTACTGTTTTAAACATCTTAGGCCATCAAAGTAAAACAAAATACATCAAAGCATAGTAATTTCATGACGGTGTGATGAGCACACATAATTATTAATACCAATACTTTGATGCTCAACTTTGTACTTCCCTTCCACAGCGCTTTTAACACAAAACAAGGCAACGGAACTCAATAACCAAATAACAACAGAACGCTCAACAAGCATTAAACACTCAAACAGAAAAACATTGGACTCATACACATCAGCCCATCAGCAAGTCAAACACAATAGACGTGCCTCGGACTTCTGTTAACATGGAGTCAGGGGAAAACAAACATTTTGTCACTGTTTCTTACAAAACACCAATGCTTATTCCCATGGAAGTAGCATGCCTATGCCAAACCTGAAGAGGCCTTACTTGATCTTACCCTGTCTGACCTATTTGTATCACAGCAGCAGTTGTGAGTTACTGATTCTTGCACAATTCCTATTGCCACTTACATGTACTTGACCAACTTAACCTAACTAAGTGTAGCCCATATGTAAAACATCCTCTCAACTCACCTATCTGTTGACAGCAGCACTTGTGACAAAAACATGATAAAGCTAATTTTTGTCTGGTTTCAACTCGCATTTCTATTCCGTTCATTTGTGTATGCTTGTTGACATCAGACAAAGTTGACAACACACAAATTAAAACACTAAGTCATTTTGAACGACTTGTTTTAATTGCCATGATTAATCTATATCAAGGGCACTAATGAATATGCTTCGCAAAATAATCTCTCTTCTCAAAAAGTAGCATAACGTTTAGATGATCATGCCAGTATTGCTGCTTGCCTTTTCAGCTGCAGCAAAGGCATCTATTTCGCTTGTTTGCACGTTTATAATTGATATGCAGCTTAGAGTATCCATGTGTTAGCAATATAGTGCATATATACAGTACAGTTATTTGCCAGTCAGCAAACCATGACAACTATGCAAAACATCTTGTTAAGGCACCCATGAGGGACCACTTCAAGAAATGTGGGCAAATAATCAAGAATATGGAACAAAATAAGCCCATTGCATGCGTTGTGACATCATCATTTGTCTTATGACAAAACTCGATGGATTAAAATGGAAAATGGCTAACTCCGGTTCCCAATCATGTGTTGAAAGTAGGTAAGGTAAGCAATTACTTGGTCTACAGGAGGCTTACTGGCTTCTTCCTGCTCCCCCAAAACAAAAAGTTAGTACCTTTCGCATTGTCTCCTGCCATACAGAGCCATCCCACTCATACAGAGCCACCCCCCCCCCCCCCCCCCCACCACCCTCCATACCATACAGAGCCATACAGAGCCCCCCCCCCCCCCACCCCCCAAATATAAGTATCAATCATGACTACCAACCTACGAGATTCAAATTACGAAATAAGTAAGAGGTATGCATGATTAGCATATTCAGAGGGCAGAATTTCGCCATCAAACCTTCTGTATTGCCTGCGTCAGAATCACACGTCAGTGAAGTGGCATCACACTCATATGATGCCATAACGTTAACCCACATCGAACAAAAAAGGTCGAGTTTGCGAATATTTCAGGTATACGTAAGGTTAGGTTAGGTTAGGTTAGGTTAGGTTAGGTTTTAACCAAATCGCCTACGGACAGATCACAACTTGTTGCGAGGGACTTGGTCTTTTGGGACGGGGTCAGCGTGAGGTCAAGCTAGGAGCAAGCAAATATGAAGGGAAGCAAGCCTTCAGTTATTAACAAAATGAGGGATATGGTTTCACGAAAAATCGTTGCCGATGACTGACGCAGCAACAACATGACGTTAAGCCCTTGGCATGACAGGCGGCAATTATGGCACGCGTTTTGATACCAAAACGCGTTCCTAGATTTTCTTGTTTCGGAGCAGCGGCAGTTTGTGATGACACACCACGGCGATTTATGGCTGGATCGGGCGGCGGACGGCAAGAGGATTGCACTCTAGAATGCACTCAGAATTGAACAAGACACACGCCAGCTCAAGTTTCGCGTCACCGCAAAGCGTGGTCTCATAAACATAAAGCAAAGCTACAAAGTGCGGTTTTCTGGAAAATTCGACATTTGACCTGTCGACAGCATAAAATCTAGTACCAATCGTGAGATCGTGTTCAGAACAATATACAGGCGCTCTCGGCTACCTCTATCTTTATAAGCTTGGAAACGCCAGAGGAAGGGTCGCTCCAACCCCCTCTCCTCCCATCAGTCAGAGGCACGCCAAACGGGGAATCAGAATCAGAATCAGAAAAATCAGAAAAAAGTCACTCCGGTCATCATTTGGCCACATATTTCAGAAGCTAGAAAGTGCTCACAAAAAACAGTAAATTGCACGATATTCCGCCGTCGTCAATGACGAAAATGTATATGATGCATGTGTGCATTTGGTGTGGCAGTGTTTTTGAGCTATAATTATTTTTTGAAGCTGTATTCCCATTGCCCTGCCTTGAGACTGTCGTTAGTGAACGGAGACACGCACTAAAGCTGATTTTTTATAACAAATCCGGTCGACTTAACCTACAATGGCCCTTTGTTTTGGTAGATTTTGGACTACCACCTGACGCGAAATCTGATGCATGACTTAACCGCATACCCATTGATATATATATATATATATATATATATATATATATATACAAAAGCAAAATTCGCTTATATATTTCTATATATATATAAATATATGGCCACATGCCATTCGATTCGATGCCATATATTTTGGCAGAATTCTTTCTTTGATACATGTTTGATTAAAAATGACTGCTGACTCAGCATTAACGAGCTTTTTGATGCATCGTTCTAGTTTCCGGGCCTTTGACTTTGCGTCATCGCTTAGATTAAAGATGGTTCGCACAAAATTACTCATATATTCATCACCCCTTCCATTCTAACGTTTCGAGATCTTATCACATCTTCGGAGAAGACTAAATTGCACAAGAAATAAGTTTTGAGTTTTAAAGGATAAAAAAATTGTGCACTACTGTTGGAAAACATCTTTTAGTACGGAGCACGTAAATGAAGCACAACTAATTGAAGTAAGACGGATTGCTATTTTCATCTTCATACATGTAAGAAACACTCATAATGGGAACATCACAAAGACACAATGGGGACACTATTGTCACAATCACATCGGAAGTGCTCACCGCCCACCACCTAGTAGCTCAAGAGTTCTGCAAGAATTTGTCTGTCTGTTTAAGGCCGGAGAGAGTTCGTTAATGAATATGCTTTCCCAAATTTGAAGGCGTCTTCTGTCACTGCACGTCCGTAAAATGTCAGTGTTGTCTGTCAGTTGTTGTCGAATCAATGTTATGTCGTGTTCCTGTCGCATGTGGTCCAGGGGTGCCCCGTCACGTAAGTGCATTGCCAGGCGTCGTGAGAGTGTCGTTGTGGTCACACCAATGTAGTGTGTGGGACGAAGTTTGCAGCCTTCGATGTTGCATTGGAATTGATACACTACATTGGTGCATTTCAGTTTGTGGTGTTTGTCTGGGCTGTTTCTCATAAGAAAGTTCGATATCTTCTTATTACAATAGTAAATGACAATGTCTATTTTGTGGTCGTTTTTGCCTTTAACATGTTGAGAGATAATTTCCCGTAAAGCTTTTTCATCCTGTTTGTGAGCAGATGTCATTTGATTTTGATAGTACAGTTTGACGGTCGGTTGGATGTCTTGCCTTGGTTTGCTGTCAAAGTGTCTTGTCATATGTCGTTGTGTCTCGTTTTCAATGTCAGAATTTGAAAAACCGTTGTTCACCAGGATCTGTTTGATTCGTGTCAATTCTGAATGTAGTCCTGTCCAATCAGAGCAGTGCTTAAATGCTTGTCGAAGAAAGGACCTTATGACGCTAATTTTGTAGCGTCGAGGACACTCACTGTCAGCATTTAAGCACCGTCCGTTGTTAGTCTGTTTTCGGTATACAGTCGTTTTGAATTGTTGTCCTTGTCCATCAACAGCTACGTCAAGAAAGGGTATTACGTTTTGCACACTTTGCTCTGTTGTGAATTTTAAGCGAGACCGTTCTTCAAAGGTGTTTTTGAGATGTCCTAGTTGGTCAATGTCCCTCACTTCTACAAATATATCGTCTACGTAGCGGCAGTAAATGTCCGGTCTTATGTCGTCATTTTGTAGTATGTCGGTTTCTACGTGTCCCATAAAGAAATTAGCGAATAGGGGTCCTAGAGGTGAGCCCATCGCAACACCCTCAATTTGGCAATACATTCGGCCATCAGGCCCGCGGAAAGGAACTTCCAACGTGCAGGCTTTTAGTAATTGTTCAAGGAGGCGCCTTGATATTTTGAGAGGAGGAATTTCAGGATGATTGTAGACGCGGTCAAGGATGATGGATATGGTTCTTTCAATGGGCACGTTTGTAAATAGATTTTCAACATCTAGAGAGGCTAGTAGACCCTTTAGTTGACCAGATCGCACTCTATCAATAAGCTCATCCGTTGACGACAAGCTGTAGGACATTAGAAGATATGGGGACAGAATACCATTAAGACGTTTCACAATGCTCTAGGTTGGTGAAGGGATCTGTGAAATTATTGGACGAAGGGAGTTGCCATTTTTGTGAATTTTTTACAGACCCATAAGCATAGCCAGGCGCAAATTCACCCGTTATCTTGGAAAGGTGTATGCCATCAACAGCGGCATTGGCAGCAGTGATTAGTTTGTTAAGCTTGGTCTTGAGTTTGTCTGTTGGATCTTTTGTGATGTGCCGGAACTTCTTGTCGTCGTTCAAGATGCAGTTTAGTTTCATATGATATTCCTTTTTGTCAAGTATTACGTAGAGTGATGATTTGTCCGCTCGCCGAATGATGATGTCGTCTTTTTCTCGAAGTTCCCTTGTCGCCGTCCTGAGTTCTTGCGTGAATATCTTGCTTCTATCATTTCCACGCTTTTTCGTGCTCTCTCCTAGTAAGCTGTTTTTTAGATCCTTGTCCACGGCAACCTTGTTCTCTTTTTCCAAATTCAAGATATCCTGGTAAAGAATTTCTAGTTCTACTTTCTTCTTAAGTTTGTCATATTTCGACAACACGTGGCAATTAAGTCCAAGATTAAGCACCTCTTTTTGTTTTTACAAAAAGAGGTGCTTGATGTTCTTTTTAACGTTTCGGATGTTTTTTATAAATATGACGGCAGCTTTCGCTTCTTCTCGCTGGTCGTTGAAGATGTCGTCACAGCTCCTGATACAAAAAAATATGGATTGTCATATTGTATGGCTTGGTGCTACTTATACTTCTCAACATTCCATCCTTCTTTGGACATTTTCTGGAATGGCAGTTTTGGATAAAGTCGATGTCGTAGTACGTTTGTAAACAAGCCCCAGATCGCTACGTTCCGGGTAGCGGTGCTGTGACACTATCATGGGACTAAGTCATATGGGACCAACGTTACGGCGGCGTAAAAACGGTATTCTTTGCGGACTGGTTTAATCATATGTATTTCTACAAGTCGAAGTTTGTCGGCCTAGCATATTCGATGAAACATTTTCAGCCGGGGAATGGCGTTGGTTTGCACCAGAGTCACAAAATTATTGCTGAAATGCTCTTCCAGCCTGCCCCGACAGACAGACGGGGTCACCCATTCACCAGTGATTTATCCCGAAGACCTCTAGCCGGAAGTGCTAAGAAACCGTCTGTGTAAAAGAGTACAACATGCAGCAACAACAATAACATAAGATGAAAATGAAACACGACGAGCCAGACAGGCTCTCAGCACCCTGGGACGCGCATTGATAAGTTGGAATGCATATCCTACAGCCTTAGGGGTAGCGTCGTCAGGGTAAGTGCAGGTTTGGCCTGCCCTTATGGCGGTAGTGGGTGGTGAATCCCATGAGGTTAAATACAGCGCGAGCCATTTCAGCTCAAAATAGCAGAATTGTCCTGTGAAATGGACCGATTTCTGGCAGGTTTTGCCATTTCTGCCAGTCAAAAAGTCGAGGTTCATATCTCAGCTCCAAAATAGCTTGATAGAGGTATTTTAGGGCGCGGAGGGTATAATTCTCTGTGCACCATTTTTATCTAACCATTCCGACATTAGAGATCTACAGGTTAACCAACACCTAGGAAGATCATAGCACAGCAACAGCGAAATTATTGGCACTTTCCCTGCTCGCATAACGTGACTTTCACCTTTCACTTCATATGGGTACTGCATTACGAAGATATATGCGCTATCATTATCCATTATTAATTTAATGTTAACATGACATATGATATTAATTTATTTACACGTAAATATTTGTTTTACAAAAACTCATTACATATAGATATTCTCGCGTGTTGGCTGGACGAACATGGCGGAGATGCATGAACCGGAGCACGTGGTTTAATAGGCGCCATTTTTGGAGTCAGATTACAGCAATGAGTTATTCTGAGAAGCTTTGAAATGCGAAATTGCAATATATATATTCACATATTAAAATAATGATGTAGAGCAAGGTTGTCATCCGGTA